GGGTTCTTTAGATCCAGGTTCTGTCCAGGGTCAAGAAGGTCAACCTGAGAGAGCAAGTCATTCTTGCAGAAGCTGCCAGAGAAAAGACCAACATTTCTAGAAGTAAGGAATTTAGTAGCAGCAAATCTACCAACCGATAGGGCCTGAGAGACACCTGATCATGGATGGGTCTGTGGCCTAATCAGTGACAAAGATGACCTTTGCCCACACACTAGGTGTGTTCGAGGCCCTGAATGAGGCTTTAATCCAGGGCATGTTGAAAGGGCTTAATAAATACTTATTCCCTTGAGTCAAATCTAGAAGTTTGAAGAAAAATGCAAAGTTTAGATTCTGTGTGCCCCTTGGTCCCGTGAGACGTGACTCTGAGGGAAGACCTTACCCAGGCCCTGCTGTAATGGGCGGCGGGACCCGGAGCCGCAGGCCAGGCCCTGGACTCTCGCTGCTGTGAACGGGAGCAGGAAGAAGCCGCTAACCCACTGCACTGCACCCCCTTCAGCGAGGGAGCAAGAACTCTCCTTTGCACTCCAGCACTTTCTGGCCCCGCTGACACCAATTTTGGGAACATATAGTACCTCGATTCCCTAGGACTGCATGACTACACACCACAAACTGGCCTTCTGAAAACACGGAAATTTATTTCCTCAAAGTACTGGAAGCTAGGGGTCTGAAATCAAGGCCTCAGCAGGGCCACGCTCACCTCCAGACTGGGTAGAGTCCTATTTTTCTTTTCCTAGAGTCCTACCCTCAGGTAGCTGGCAGTCCTTGGCATTCCTTGGCTTTCAGGGACATCATTCCAACCTTTGCCTCTGTTGGCACATGGCATTCTCCCAGTGTCCCTGTCCTCACATGGCATTCTCCTGAGTTTAAGGACACCAGTCACAGCGGGCCCCGGGCCCACTGTGCACTGCTTAACTTGAGTGCGCCTGCCCTGCAGAAGAACCTGTTTCCAAATAAGGCCATATTCACAGGTACTAGGGATTAGGACTTCACAACATCTCTTTTAGGGAAAACAATTCAACCCATAATGCATGGTGAGAGGAGATGGGAGGAGGCAGTCAACGCAGGGCACCCCACTGTGTGCCTGTGAGGGGCAGGTTGACAGTCCCTCTATCAGGAGCATCAAAAACATTCATATCCTTTCCTTCTTAAATCCTCACCCGAGGATATGTTTTTATTGATTAGCTGGAAAGAGGGAGAGAAAGAAGCGTCGGTGTGAAACAGGAGCACCCATCAGCTGCCTCTCGTGCGCACCTGACTGAGGAGCGAGCCCGAAACCTCTTGGTGTACGAGACAAGGCTCCGGCCAGCGGAGCCACCTGGCCAGGGCGACATGCGTGCCCTTTAGTCCAGTGACCTCTTCTAGGAGGTCGTCAAAATGTGGGTAAGACTGCGCACAGAAACATCCATCTCAATACTGTGTGTAAATAACTCATCACCAGGAACAGTGTCCGTGTCCAGCAGCTAGGGATGGTTATTAAAATAAGGCATGTCCACGCGAGGGGATGTCATGTGGCCTCTAGAAACGACATTTCCAGGAAAAAAAAAAACAGGGAAGATGAACTGAAAGGATATCTTTATTATGTTGTCAACTTTGTAGAAATATACAGGGGAGGAAAAAAACAACATAATGTTCATATCCCCCACCCCTTTGACGGAGGAACGATGAGTGATTTTGTTATTTTAAAAAATTATGGCATTACATAAGTTCTCTGCATTGACATTATAGCCAAGGAGGAAAAAAAACTAATGATATTTTAAAAATAGATACATAAATTGTTTCCTGGAGTATACCTTCCAGGGCATTCTGACTGGGAGGAGGGCAGCAGCTGCTGGGTGTCCGGCTGATTTCTGTGCTTACAAGCCACGGCCATCACCACCCTGGAGTTTTTCATCACGTACTCGGGTGTCTACTCACATCAGAATTACCCATGATGCCTGTTTTAAAATGCAGAATTCTAGGCCCCACCCCAGACCTACTAAACCAGGATCCCTGGGTGAGGGCCTAGGAATTTGCATGCTCACAGGCTCTGCACACTTGAGACTGAACTCCCCCTGCCTCACAGGCTGTGGGTAACCCACTCCTCGGTCACCCAGGGTGGTTTGTCACCCCAGTCATCTGTGCCCTGTCCGCCTACACTGGGCTTTGAAGAGTAAAACCAAATAAACAGAGAAGTTATTCTCTTCATAAAGCCCATTTGTGGTTCTCCTACCTAAGACAGAAAGCTGCAGAACACAAGACTCAAAAGAAGAGAAAATTTGTTATTGTGTTTTATTTTGGAATCCAGTAACAGCATTTCTTCATTTATGTCTACTACTGAAAATGGGTTCACATTCTCAGACTCTGCCCTAGTCTGGGGTTCAGAAAGTTGCAGGGAGACATCAGCCCCCAATGAAAGCTTTGCCCATTAACAAGGGGGGATTTCATGTGCAGGCAGTTGAAAATGGTAATTATACACGTGACTTCTTCTAACTCACGTCTTTGAGGTTTCCTTTATTGCCTGGCTTTGGGGAGCAGTATCAGAGGGCAGACGCTGGTAGAAAGGTCTGCGCTTTAAGGTGTGTCCTGGCTCAGGGCAGAGGTTGGCGGAGCAGGCCCTTCCTGCCCTGCGGTGCCGTGACTTGTCAAGACCCAAGGGAGTTGTGGCATGCATGGAGGGGGCCCAACAGCTGTGCAATTAGCCACCTCATCAGCAGGTGAAACTCAACACCGCAAAGAGGCAACAATTCAAGGTATCAGTCCATACTTGTTGTTTCCGGAGTTGGTCATAGGCTCCGAGGTGAGCCATCCTGAGCATGAAATACCTGCCTATGTGTGGGAGCAGTCAGAAAACAGAACCAGAATGGCAGCTGGGAAATTGTGCATCTCACCTCCTGGAAGGGGTCACATTATACTTTCTGCGCCTTTGCATGGCAGGCTTCAGGATGCCCTCCCCCTGAGCCCTGTTTCAGGGGGCAGGAGGGCAAAAGGGGGTAGGCTCTGGAGCACCCAACGTGCTGGGCACCTGAATAACACCTTCCATTTGTGCTTGGTCATCATCCCCAGCACCTGGCGGGAGTTGGCTCTCCCTGCGGTGTGAAGGAGACCTGGATAGGCCGGGTTGTTTTCTGCTCAGCAGCTCAGGATGGTCCTGGGCAGTCAGAGGCTGAAAGCCCAGCTCTGAGAGTCTGGGGCACAGGACCCAAAGTCAGGCCTGCTGCTCCTCCCAGGTGCCCCTCTTTCCTGCAGCACAGGGGGGAAGCAGAGAAAGGCAACTGAAAGGGTTAGGGCCCATCAAGGAGGGGAAAAATGCAAAAGGAAGCCCTGTATCTTTCACACAACATGTAATTAGCTCCCAGCAGAAGATGCCATAGATTCATAATGGGAGCCGACAGCGGGGGAGGAAGGCTCTGACAAGCATGAGATTTCTCGTGGGTTTTTAAATTTAATTTTTTAAAGGAACATGAACAGCTACAATTAAAATCATGGACCTTCAGTGAAGGTGCACCCCCAGCAACAAGCCAGATCATGCCACATCCGGTGCCCACCCAGGCAGGGTGATTGGGAAGGGCTTTCCGGCCTCAGAGCTCTCTCCTGGCCCCGGGGGCCAGCCATTTCTTGTCCCTGGTGACCCAGGGTGGGCCTGTCAGCAGCCCCTGCTCTGTCAGGCTGCCCCACAGCCCTCTCCTCTCCTTGACAACAGTCCCTGGAGTCACTGTAGCCTCCAGCCAGAAGCTCCCAGGGCAACGGTTCTGGAAGAACCCAGGCCTCCTTCCAAGGGCCCTGCCCTCAAGTACAGGCGCTGCGCCCTGGGAGGAAGGGAAGCACAGATGGGGGGGGAGGGTGAGGAGCCGCCGGGCAGGGTGGCTGCAGGTGGGCAGGTCTGGACGTCCGCCAGGACAAACGGGGCCAACCTTCTCCCAGGCACAAAGGGCTCTCTGTGAGGGACACACCCAGCCCCGTGTGCGCAATCTCGGAGGCTCAGGTTTCTTAACACGAAGCCCATTCCCAGACTGGCCTAGGTGTGGCCTGCCGGCTGAACCCTGCTGGGCAGGGTCCTGTGGAATCCTGGTGACCCATCTGGGTGACTTCAGTCCTCATTATGATCTGGCCTAAACATGAAGTTGGAGAGAGGCCTGGACAGGTAGCTCAGGTTTGCAGCACAGGGGCAGCTGCCCCTTCTTCCTTTGGGAAAGAGCCTTCCCAGGGTCACTCTACACACTCCCTGTGGGTGTCTGTGTCCAAATTTCCCCCTTTGTAAAATAAAGACACTGGTCATATTGGATTAGAGCTCACCCTAATGACCTCATTAACTATTATCTCTGAAAAGACCCTGTCTCCAAAACAGGTCACATTCTGAGGTGCTGGGGGTTAGGATTCCAACATATCTTTTGTGTTGGGGCAGGGGGTGGGCGGGGTGTGGAACACAGTTCAGCCAAAACACCATCTATAGGAAAGTGTAGGAAAGTATGGAGGAGAGGTGCTGGAAGTCTCCCGCCTCTGTGAGGTCTCCTGTGAACCGGTCTGGTGGAGCCTGGGTCACGTGCATATTCCCCACTGCAGGGGTTGGGAGGGACCCGAATTCCTGACTTATACCCTGGGGTGGGGGGCATGGGCCCTCTAATTTGGGATTTTCTCCAAACACGGGAAGAACATTCAAAGGATTCATGCAAAGGTGGCCACAAAGCACAGCAGAAACCGACTGTGCGGGTACTTTCAGGTTTTCTTTCTCCAAGGGGACCCGAGAGCAGAGAATGAGGAGCACGGCCTCCATTTCTACGTCTCCTTTCTAGTGCCTAGTGTTGTGCACTGCCCGCTGCAGGGACCAAAGGTCGATGACTGCAGAGGACACCTGGCAAATCTAGGTGACAGCAAAGAAGTAGCATTTGGTAAGCGTTCATGGCGTGGCAGGCGTTTTCTAAACTCCTTACACGCATTGCCACATTTAACTGTCACAACAGCTTTATGGAGTAGGGGTGATTGTGAGCTCTCTTTCACAGATGAGAAAACTGAGGTGCCGAGAAGTTAAGTAACTTAACTTAGTAGGTGGGAGAGCCAGGATTTGAATCCGCCAATTCTAGTCCGAGACCCAGAGCCTAACCACTGGGCTTCCTCCGCAGCCAGCCCACAGGCAAGGCAGGTGAGCGCCATCCAGCCGTTGCCCTGCTGACAGCCTGGGAGCTCGGCGGAACTACCCCAGGATGGCACGTACATTGTCTCACACTTGGAGCCCAGGTGGGTGTGATGTTGGCCTGAGGCACCCTGACAGGGTCCTGGGGAATCCTGGCAGGGAGGCGTGGAAAGAGGCAGGAGGGCAGGAGGAGGGGAGAATCCCCGGCTGGAGCTGCAGGGCCAGCCTGGGAGGCTCTGCCTGGCGGGGCTGAGCGGGACCTACGTCAGAGGACTGATTTCTGAACTTCCGGACTCAGCCTCAGCAGGGCTGGGGCTGAGGCTGGTCTTTCTGAGAGGGCAGGGAGGGCCCTAGCCGGCTCCTTGCCGGGGTACTGCCTGGAGGGGGCCCGAGATGCTCCCGAGGGTCCGTCCACAGTAACCCAGAGGAACAGCTGTGCCTCGGAGGGGCCAGGTGGCTGCCAGGGCAGACCGTCCACGCTGAGGTGCACGTGGAAGGTGGCTCAGGTACCTGCCACATGCCCAGTGGCAGAGACCTAGAACCTTTGTGCCTGCCGCAGAGGAGCCCTGGCCACTCCCTGCTCCTATGACTGTGGTTGTTGGAACATCGCTCTTTCTATCACCCTAGGAACAAAGGGTGGGAAAAGAAACAGAAGGAGGCAAAAATAGAAGGGACATGTTCCCACAGTCCCAAGCCTTACCCACCTGGATTTTTCTCTGTGGCCCTGGCCCATAGGACTGGGCCTCGGGCCTCCCACACTCCCAGTGGAGAGCATCATTTTAGGAGTGTGCATACCCCAGGGGGCTTGTCATTCACCAGTGAGATCCCCACCCTCTCCAGAAAGCTTCCTGGCAGCTTCCCTTTCCAGAGGAAAACAGGGTGAATGCTGCTGGGATTTTCTTAGAGAAGACAGAAGAGAAAGGTTAAAAGTCTTGTCCCTCCACAGCTTTGGTAATAAGGTCAGAATAGGGCAGTTTCTTATACACCAGCAGGACATTTTCAAAACACACAAGGTCACAAAAATAAAGACAAGGGAAGGAATAGGAACGATCCACTGGAGGTTTTTATTACAATGGGTGACTATGAAATACATAGTTTAAAAGTTCAGTTTAAGAAATGTTTGCAAACATCAACTGTGTTTGAGTTTCAGAACCAGATTAATCTTTGCAACAAGATGAAAAACACAAATGCCTTGCATGTGCCCTGATGTCTTAGTGTCTCCCCACAGATAAGAAGCAGAGAAGAAGGACATTCCTAGAATTTAAAGAATGAGGTAGGATCGGGGTTGCCAGATAAGACACAAGACGAATATAAGTTCCAACTATTGTATGGGGCGTATTTATACTGAAAACTCTGTTGTTTTTATCTGACATTCAGATTTAACTGGCTATCGTGTATTTTTATTTGCTCAATCTGGCAACCTTAGGTGGGCCTCATACGCACGCACCCCAGCAGGGGAAGAAGACAGAGGAGCAAAGTCTGGCAAAGAGGTTGGCAGGACTCCAAGGAGGCCCGGCCTGAGGCTGCAGGGCTGCTCAGTGGGGCCCTGGGAAAGGCTCTGGGGCTCCTCGGGGAGCTCCATCCCTCTGGGGGAACAGGTGGGCCCAACAGCTGCAGAAAGAAGCCTTGAAAACAACCTGAAAACAATTCGGTTTTCTCTAGGGAGTTGCCAGATGCAGGAGAAGCCAGACTCAGGATGGTGACATCTACAAGGACTCCAGGGCCCCAGACTAGATGGTGGCCCATCTCCAGCAGCTGGTGGGGGTGGGGGGTCACCCTGACCCCCAGGCTACAGTATCACTGTGACACACCTCAGCTGATCTTGTAAACTCCCCAGCCCAGGCGCTGACCTCTCCTTCGGGCCTGGTTGTGTCAGCCCCGCCTCACTGAATTCCCCTACATTCTCTGGGGCTGAGGTCATTGAATATCCCCAGCCGTTCCTGCCAGGACGGTGTGCCAGTCCAGGGGCATTAGGTGGGCAGCTAGTTATCTGTGTACTACCCACAGGTACCCTGGGAAGGGGAGGGTAAGTAACTTCTGCAGGAGCCCAAGGAAGCAAGTGGAGCCTACCTGGCTAGCTGCAGGGCCAGCACCCTGGAAGGCCCCCTGCTGTGCTAGCTCTGGTGGGGGTAGACCCTCCCCAGAGCCCTCCTCCCACTGCTGTGGGGAGGCTGTGGTTCTGTCCAGTTCCAGGGAACAGGGGGGAGGGAGGAAGGGAGGGAGAAGAAGGGGCAGGCCTGCCCCGACAAGTTTCAACTTGAATGTGGAAAGAGTGCTCACTGGAGTGTGGAGAAAGTGGGGAAGGACTGCCCATCAGCAGAGCATCTCTTGGATCATCTTTCGAGGTGCTTTTGGTCCCGTTTTTAACAGAGGGTGAAACAGGCCCAGAGAGGTTATAGAACTTTCCTCAGGTCACCCAGTAAGTGGATGAATAAGTCAGAAATTCCACCCAGAACCCTCTGACTCTAAAACCCGGGCCCAGTCTGTTCCTCTTTGCTGCCCGGGAAAAGTCTGGTATGGCTCAGGAGGAAATGTCTGCCGTCAACCCTGTGATTCCCCTGTCGTTCGGTGCTGGTCTCCCTCGCTCCCTCCGAGACTTGGCATGTGCCTGAAATCTCCACTAGACAACAATGCGGAGAGGAAATGGCCGGACTTCTCTGTTTCCACCCCAGGGCTCTCCTTCTGGGCTCTCAGCCCTCCTCGCACAGCGCGGGGCGAGCCCTGCAGCGCCAGGCCAGGGGTGATCTCAGCGCGCTGGGCATCGCCCCCAGTTCCTGCTTTTGCAAGTCTCGTTTGGTCATTTTTGACAGAGTGAAAACCAACCTCTGAAATCTAGCCCATGTGGTTGGTTCACTTTGATAAAGCTGTGGGATCTAGGCCCCCATGATGTCACCTCCCTGCCTCCCAAGGGATGCTAGATGCTGTCCCTGCCCCCTTAGCCCTTCTCAGATCTCTCCACACAGAGGAGGGCGAGTCCTCCTTATCTCCCCCGGTTGGTCTCGGTATTTCTCATGCTCTCTGACACTCCCGCCACCTTGGGGTGCTACTCCTCCCCCTCAACACCTCACAGCTTGAAGGTGACGAGAAACTTTCAGGTGAGTGTGGTGGGGAGAGACTGGGGGTGGGATCGGGGAAGGCTGGAGGAGAGATAGCTGGGAGGGAAGGGAGAGTGTCTTCTGACCGTGAACTGTGAACTTCATCTATTTGCCCCTGCAGTCTGTTGGCTGGCTGGGGGAGCATGGAGGGAGGCGGAGGCCAGGCATCCTGGGTCCCAGGCAGCCCAGCTCTGGGCTCCAAGTCTATTCAAAGAGTCACAGTCTCTCAACAAAAAGCCGTTAAAAAGGAATCAGGCTCTGCTTGCCCCTCCTGTGCCGAGGAGGCACTCTAGCATTTCTCAGAATTGTCTTTCTTCTGTCAAATTGTTTAGCTCCTCCACGTCTCCAGAAACATCCAACCAACTGAATGTCTTTAAAAAAATTTTTTTAATTTATTTATTTTTAGAGAGAGGGGAAGGGAGGGAGAGAGGGGAAGGGAGGGAGGGAGGGAGGGAGAGAAACATGGTTGCCACTCTTACGTACCTTGACTGGGAACCAAACCCAAAACCCAGGTGTGTGCCCTGGCTAGGACTCCAGCTGGTGACCTTTCACTTGTGGGACAATGCCCCACCCACTGAGACACACCGGTCTGGACACAGAGTCTTCTTGGTTCGAATCCTGGTTCCAAAATGATCAGACTGGGGCACATTACTTCATTCTTCTTTGCCTCAGATCCCTCGCCTCCGACGTGGGCATGAGAGTCCCCGCTGCCTGGGCTGCTGTGAGGAGGAGGATGTTCATCATAAAAGAGTGAAAATCGCACCTGGCGCATGGCAGGCACCCTGAGACTGTGAGTAGTTAACACCTACTACTTATGATTATTCTTTCTCCCCTTCCCTTCCCTCCTGCACCTCCAGCCCAGTCTTCATTCAGGCTCTAGTCTCCCAAAGCTTGGCGGCGGGCTGGCTTGGCAGAGCCGCGGTGAGAGGGTGCATGTCAGTGGGTTGGACCGCTGCAGCCTGTCACACAGAAATGAGCCTGTGCCTGATGTCAGAAAAGGTGTGGGGACCCCTACAGATGATTCTCAGATGGGAGGGAGCAGGTTGGCCTCCACGGCACTGGAATGGGTGAGGGACCTGGTAGCAAGAGCTTCTGCTTTAGGTGCAAACTGCTCGTTTCAGGGGGAAGTAGGCCAGAAGACTAGTGAGCGTGTCCAGATGGAGGCCGCAGTCTGCATACACATGCACCCAGGCTCCAGTGTGTTGGCTTTCGGCTCCCCCAAAGCGATGTTCATGTCCTAGCCCCTCAAACCTATGAGTGCAGCCTTATTTTGAAAAGGGTCTTTGCAGATGTAATTAATCAAGACTCCACAATGAGAGCCTCCTGGATTATCCAGGTGTGTCCTATAAGAGCCCAAGGGAACTCACAGATACAGAGAGGGCCACGTGAGGACAAAGGCAGAGATGGGAGTTATGCAGCCGAAACCCAAAAAAAGCCTGGAGCCCCAGGAGCTGGAAGAGGCAAGGAAGGGAGGCTCCAGAGAGAGTGCAGCACCTGCTGGCACCCTGACCTTGGGTTTCTGGCTCCCAGACCTGTGAGTGAATAAATTTGTTTTTTAAGCCACTCAATTTGTGGTAATTTGTTACAACAGCTACAGGAAACCAATACAAGGAGCAAATGCAACCCTCTCCCGGAAGGGAAAAAATAGGGGGGCTGTGGTCGAAGTGGAAAAGGCAGACAAGTGGAAGTCGAGGGGTCAGTGAAGGACCGTCCTGGAGTTTGCTGCGTGTGACGGTGCAGGCTGTGCACGGCACAACAGGGGGTGCCGTCTGCAGCGTAGGTGTAGATGTGGGTATTTGTTGCCTGGTTTTTTCCTGCAGGGGCAGTAAGGTGTCTTGGGGAACCTTGTTGGTTTTGGGAGAGAAACATCTAGACAGTGGCGTGCAATAGAACTTTCTGCAGGGATGGAAATGTGATGTCTGGGCAAGAAAATGGAAGCTCAGGACTGTCTGATGCAAGACTGAGTAGCCAGAAGGCTGGCTGCTATTCATCTAATATGGTTCAGAGGCCCCTCTGCAGCTGCCCTTGTTGTTGGATCCAGTGAGAGGGTCAAAGGGGGGCTGAGGTGGCAGTTGGAGGTGTGCCAGAGGGTCTGAGCAATGTCCGGCCAGATGGGAGCAAGGCCCGCCAGGCGAAGGAGGGAGGGAAAGGTGTACCCGAGCAGGTTAGAGATTGCTCTCCAAATTGCTGGACTGCCCCCCTTAGCAGCCCTTCCTAAGTCTGCCGCTCATGAAGTTAGCTAAATTCTTTTGAACCTATTTGTGTTCTCAGCTCTCAGTTTGAAATAATGAATATTAATAGGGAGATAATCACAGAGATGGACGGGGTGTCGGTCCAGGGGCTCCTGGGCTGTAGGGTCACTTGCTTCTGACAAGGGGGCTTTTGGGAAACAGGCATGTTTAGGCTCCCAGACAACTCTGCTGGGGGAAGTGGGAGCCCTCGCTGCCTCTGCCGCCCCACGTCACCTGAGTGCAGCTGCACGGTGACATCAAGACTCCTGTTTTAACGGTCAGAGGGCAGGACATGTGTTCAGCTGTGGCTTCATCCCTTGAAGGGACCTGAAGACTTCTCTGAGGCGGGAGAACCACAGCTGTAGGTATTTGTACTTGGGAATTGAGGTCTAAGATGTCATTCGGTGATCATCACACTTGCTCCTTCTTCTGTTGGCAAGCAATGAGGGCGGATTTACAGGAGACGTTTAGGCGTGAGGCCTAGCCAGAGGGCAAGGGCCTGGCTCCTCCAGCCCCATCCATGTCACCTGGGAGCTCATTAGCAAGGCAGACGCTCAGACCCGCCTCACATGTGTGAAATCAAACGGGGTTGTAACGGGATCTCCAGGTGAACTGGGTGCACAGCAAAGCCCGAGAAGCACTGAGGAGCTAGCACAAGGCCCCTTACTTGGCATTGAGTTAATAGACTTCTCTTGAATTCTTTAACAGCCGAACTGACCTTGTTGTTTCAGAATTTTGTTGGCTTCACCACCCTGGAGAAACTTCCTTGAAACATAAATCTGTCAAAAGAGGTTTCAAATACAATGACCCCACATGGAATTCCCTCTGGTGCAGTGGCTGTTCTGAAAGCTGAGGGTCGAATATGTTCCACACCCCCGATCTTCAGGTGGGTGTCACCTTGGGAGCGGGGTGTGGTGCAGAACCTCCTTTCAGGGCCTGCGCCGAAGCTTGGTTCTGAACCTGTGCCCACTTCTCCTGCCACACCTGAGAGGACACGCCCCGCCCTGTGAGAATGGTTGTAGTACGTCCACCCTTACCTGTGGCTTCCCCACACCAAAGCCTAGTAAGGAGGTGGTCCCTTTCAGAACTGGTCTGAAGGGAGCCAGGAGCCCATGGCGGACACCAGAAAACTATACAAACCTCTTCTCAAAGGGCTTGAAGAGATAGAACATCACACAGTTGGACAGTGGTATTAGCGAGTCTACAACATCCATACAGCAAGAGATGGAGCTGTTTTAAAATGATAACTTTAGGAGATTATTAATTGAACAAAAAGGAGTGCAAAATAGAATGTTAGTGAATTTTCAAAAAAAGCATATCTATATGCATAGAGAAACCTATGGATAAGTATATTCCTAAATCTATGGTGTCAGTGCTCTTTAGCCAAAGGCCACCAGGAACACATGTGGGGGTTTTGGCTCGTTGGAGGGAGGGAGAGCGCACACCATGGGCAGCCAGTCGGAGTGTCTCGGCCCAAGGATGCTATCGATAGAAAGGAATTCGAATCAGATCTGGCCTTAGGGTCAGTGCTGTGGAGACGGTTGGAGCAGGCAGGCCCCTGCTCTGGAGGAGATGCTGCCAGGAAGCAGGGGCGCTTTTTTAGATTGGATATCTCAATTCTTATCAAGATGAATGGAATGAGCCTATAATTGGTAAAAAAACAAAAACCATGGTCACCCATTTGCCAGGATAGGGGGATGTTTGGTTATTTTTGTGGTTTGCACAACGCTCTTGTTTTGTCTCCTTCAGAGGTGGTTTCATTTTTGTTTTGATCATCACAGTCACAGTGGCCTTGGCTGATGTTGCTGTTCTGCGAAACTGGTTTTGCTCCAAGGAGAAGACCAAGGCCCAGCTGTGAGCGCCAGGCCAGCTCCTGGCCGTCGGGAGCTGCTTTGCTCTTTCTCAGTGGAGGTGGAGGGGGGGGTACCTCTGTGTGTTGGGATTAAGGGTGATTTTCACTTTCTGCTTCCCATTCTGAGGGGAAATTTTTTGTTTTACAACAGTCATGTATTACATTTATCTTTAGGAAAAATGGCTATTTCCTTTCTGGGGGAAAAAAATCACCTAGATAAGAAAATGCTAAACTGGATAAACCTTACGCCAGTGCACTTGGTGGGAGGGGCAGGCAGCCCAGCGCACTGAGAGCCCAGGAGCACGAGTCCAAACAGCCGACCTGCAGAGCGGCCCCCCTTAAACATTCCCCCAGGAGGTAGCGTGGGAGCGCCAGCATGAGAGCTGAGGCTGGAAACTCTGGACTGTTAGGAAGCTCCCCAGGGGATTCTGCTGGGCAGCCAGTCTTGAGACCACAGTTTTAGGTACTTTTCCTTCCTAGGCCAGCAGGGGCCAAGCGAATGAGCTAACGCTGTAAACTGAGGCACGGAAATTCTTTAGGGCCCCTATAGGAGGTGTGTCACAAAGGGGAGGGGACCTTCTCTCCCACTTTACCAGAGAAGACCACATGGCTCTCTCTGTTCCTGTGTGAGGCCTGGGGGGGTGTGGGGTGGAAGGAATTCAGCCGCTGCAGTGACCATGCCTGGTGATGAGATGGTCCCTGGCAAAGGAGGCCTCAAGGAGGAGAAGGGACAATAGGTGGGAATTATGTCCCAGCTGATGTCCTGAAATGCTTGAGGGGAACTTTGCAGTGGGCTGGCTCCTGCGGTAGCAGATGGGGGCATAAGGCAGGGAAACAGCGTGCATCCCTTTGAACACTTGACCACCGAGAGCTCTGAGCCCAGGAGGTTGATAGTGGATGCTGTGGGGTCCCACCCAGGCGCTCCGCCCCAGCTGCAGGGGTGTTGCCTGCTGATGGGTCACAGCTGTGTTTTTCCCCAGGAACTGCCCTCAGCTGAAGGTTCAAGGCTATGCACCCTCCTGAGGGCAGCCTGCATACAATGACTAGTCGAGGAAGGCAGGAAGACCCAGGCCCCTTCTCGTGTTTTAGCACAGCCCAGCTTCAGAGGCCCCCATGGGATCAGCCGAAGTGTCTGGTCCAAAGCATTCCAGTTCAGCCAATGCCCTGCCCCTGCAGAGGTTCAGAACAGGCCTCCCCCAAATCTGCCACTTTGGCTTATAAATTATGTTGAGCCAAAGGCAATCAAGGCCCTGCAGACTCATGAAAAACTTATAATTTTCCCTTAAAGAATTTAAGTTAGATGCCTTACCCATAAACATACCATGAAATGGTATTTCATTGTGGTTTTAATTTGCTTCATGTGTATTTTTGACTCGCTACTGGGTCCGGCACTGCGCTAGGCACTGGGGACACCACAGAGAACACAAGAGACAGAGGCTCTGCTTCCGTGCAAGTCCCACACTAGTGGGGGGACGACACAGGAGGAAGGAGTTAGGAGACCTGACTTCATTAGCTAGCAGGGACATTCGTGCAGCTCGGTTGCACCTGGGGAAGCAGAAACCAGGGCTCTTTGGGCTTCTCCTCCCTCTCCTCCCCCTGGCTGGGCAGAGCAGAGGTCGCAAACTCAAAGGCCTAAAGCCACAGCCAGAGGAGAGAGACAGAAGGGTGAGTGCCTGCGCGTCTCGGTGCGCGTTGGAGGGGCGGTGCTGTGGCACTGGCCCTGCCTCAAGGGACAGGTGCTGCTTGGCACTGGTTTCTTATGGCCAAGTGGCCATGTAGACATGGGCCTGGCCATATTCTGTATGGAAATACGATTTTTATATGAACTCTTCCATTTTAGTGAATTGTCTACCAGTTTGTGATTCTGCCCTGGATCTGTTTCTCACAGATGCAGGGTCGCATTCATAAGGTCAGTGTCTCTCGGGGACAGACCTGTGAATCTGCCTCCGTAACAAGCATCCTCTCTGACCACCCCTGCCACCCCAGCCCCCAGTGGTCTGATGCCCACTGGAGTTTGAAAACCACCAAACCAGAGTTGTAAGGAAGGCAGCTTCCCACGTAACAGACGGCAGGGCAGCCAGGGTCGGGTTCCCTGTTTGTGCCAGCTGGAGTGCCCGTGACCTGAGCCCAGTTTCTCAGGGCACACAGCTGTCCAGAGTACACACTTCTGTGTGCCAGGAACAGGGGAGGGGCAGCGAGGGGCCGGGCAGGAAGAGCACGCCCCTCCCCAGCCTGCCCTGGCTCTGCACAGTCTCATGTGCTTAGCTGCCCATCCCAGTGGCTTTCACCCTAGTGGGCAGTGTGACTGCCAGCCCCGATGCCTGTAGCGTCCTGGTGAACTTTGTCTGGATGGAAAACCTTTCCTGGGAGATGGCCCAAATAGAGATGGCAGCTGTGGCCTACCCTGACACATGGCTGTTTAGTAATATGTTTGTTGGTCTCTTGCGTAGCGGTCACAACTGCAGTTAAAACTAGCAGTTCTCTGGCAGGAGTGTCAGCTCTGAAAATCCACAGGGGCCCCTTTCACAGTTGTGAATCCCCTGCCTGCGTAGGTGTTTATTCTGAAGCCACCGAGACACTTCCCTGGGTTCACCTGGCCACTCAGGCTGCTCTGTGGGGCTAGTGTTCCAGCCCCACATTTACAGAACTCCGGACAGGTCCCTTCCCCGTCTGTGTCCCCTGTCAGCGCTCAGGAGGCATACAGAAGGAGCAAGTAGGTTTGTAGGCAAAGAGAGTGACAGGGAGGACAATGTAAGTCTGGGGTTTGTCTTCATGGGGATAACGGTCCAAGGGGTCCTTTCCCTGCACCCCGCCAGCCCCCATGTGCTCCTCTGTGTGTTCCACCTAAAGAAAGAGCTGGGGTTGATTTCCCCAACAGGAAATAACAAGGAACAAATTAATAAGTGTTATGTTTCTATGTACGTTTCTATCCATAAAGGATCTGTTTGAGTCTTCTGCCTAGATTACTCTCAGCAAATAATTTTATTGTTAGGAACCATAACCAACATAAAACAGAACTGCTGTGAAGCTATTTAGTAGCATTCATACCTGTGATAAAGCACCGAGCTCAGTGGAGATTACGGGCAATAATAACACCAGCACTCACTAGGGCCCAGCTCTGTGCCAAGCGCTTCACTTGGATTGTTTAACTTAATCTCCACAATCCTGTCAGATTTCATTGTCAAAAGCACTCAGCCAGGGAAGAATTATAATATCACCATTTCTCAGATGGCAAAACTGAATCTCAGAGGTTGAATCTACCAGGTGCTTTACGTGGTTTATATCATGTAATGCTTAGGCCAATCCTGGAGATCCCCCTCCCAGCAGTCCTGTGGGAGGTGGTAGTACCTTTTTATGGATGAGGAACTGAAGTGTGGGGGTGTTACTGATGCCCATGGTCACGCAGCCATGACATAGAGAAGGTGGGGTTTGAATGGAGGGAGGTGTAGCTCTTAGCACACCACTTAACCTCTGAGTGATAGCAGGCAGAGAGAGAAACACAGCTTAGACAGACAGGCAGACATAAGAGAGTAAGCTCATTGTGTCAGTGTTTGTAAAGAGGAAAAAGCCGGAAACCACCCATGTGCCCATTGATGGAAGGAGGGTCACACTAGTAAGGGTGCCACATTCTAGGTGATACAGGCTGACAGACGAGCAAGGTGGATGGTGCATGCGTGGATGCGGAATGACATGTCACCTATTAAGAGAAAAAGGCTAGATGCTAAATAATATGCACATCATCATACACTTCAAATATGGGGCACACTCATGCTGGGTAATTAGAGAATTTGATTATTTATTTAAGGTTAAGTTATATGAACTGACATGGAAAGATCTCCAGGACATATTGTTAAGTGGAAAACCAAGAAGTAGAGTATGATAACATTTTTTGTTTAAATATGTATTTATTTTTTTAGAGAGGAGAGAGGGAGAAAAACATTGGTATGTGAGAGAAACACTTGACTGGTTGTCTCTTGCATGCCCCCAAACTGGGGACCTGGCCTGCAACCCAGGAGTGTGCTCTGACTGGGACTCAAACCAGCGACCTTTTGGTTCACAGGCCAATGCTCAATCCACTGAGCCACACCAGCCAGGACACTGAGGGAGTTTAATAAAAGGAATATCTATAGAGTTGT